CCCTGTTAAAAAAAAAAACCCCAAAAAACCACCCCGGGCGGCCCCCCGGCCCCCTTTAGCCCCTTTAAGGGGGTTCCCCCCCCCCCCCGGGGTAGCCTCCCACTCAGACATTCTGGGTCAGACGTGTTCCTGCCCCACGAACGTCTGCGTGGGAGTCTACCAGTGTTTACCATATTGCTGTACACAAGCATTCCTGTGGGAAATAAACTCCTTTCTTAAGACTGGATTTCATCAGCGAGAGATATGCTGTAAACCCGAGGGGTACTCCCTATAATGGCCCATAAGGCAGGGGAGGCTCCGCCAGAAAGGGGACCTTTTTCAGCCTTCAAGGCCCAGTTGCTCGAAGGCCGATTAGCACTAACCCGAGGTTAATAATCTGGGTTTTCCTTTTCTTTTATTCGAAAGCATTTTCTTGATAATTTTCTCTATTCTTTTGAGCTCATCAACTCATCATAATGTAGAAAAAAAAAATTAAACTGAATTTTCTTTTTAAACTGTCACTCGCGCTAGATTCAAATTTTGCACTAACCCTGGGTTATCTTAACCAAGCTTTGTATAACTAGGCCTAGGTATATGAACGGGTGGGAATCTCACTAGTGGAGGTGAATGAAAGCGTAGAGAAATCTGTCATTTCGGGCGTAGAAAGGTCCAAAAGGGCAAACAGATGCATTTTATGGCTGTGAAAAAGTCGGGAAAACGTACTTGCTTTTTAGTTTATTGATATTTTAAAGACAGAGCATGGAACGTTGTGAACTACTTTAGGTATGTAAAACGGATACCATTTGTCAATGGAAGGTGTATGAAACAATGGTCGCAACTCAAGAGGTGTTCCTTTACTCCACAAAAATGAACTCCATAATTAAGTATCAATCAAGAAAATAACTCCGAACTTTCTGTGGCTCAAATTTAGTGAAAATTCGTATAAGTACCACAAACTCATGATGACACTGACAGATACAATCAAACTCCCCACAACGATAGATTCTGCCGTATTTGTAACTCTGATCGATATAATTGAAGACGGATTTCATTTTTCTTGCATTTTCCAAAGCATTCAATCCCAAGGGAAAAAATTCTACAATCAAATCCAACAAAATTTTGCCGATTTTAATCAGCCATCTTGTACTGAATTAAAAATTAAATTGAAGAATTCACAGAATTTTTCTGTAAATTCACATTTGTTGAAATTTGTCTCATTATGTAATGATTTACGAAGAATTCGTTATCAAATCATGTGCCGCTGTGAAGGGTATGGTTTTCAAGCAGTTTACTCTAGGATAGGGTATGTAAATCAGAACATCTGGGTCTAGAATAGGGTATCATTTTCAGGAAACTGATCAGTTGGTTGAAGATTTTATCTAGACTAGGGAAACAGCTACTCTAGGATAGGGGAGATTTTGGGAGTTTACTCTAGTATAGGGTAGCAAAATTCAGCTGAACTAGCTCTGGTATAGGTTAAGGGTTCTAGGGTCCCAGCGGCACATCCCCACCCAGAAATTTCTGAAGTACCACCCCCCCCCCCCCCCCCGGGCTGATGACACTTGATTGACCGTTATAATCATTGCATTGTATTATCATTAGTATAAATTGTAACTTTATCTTAAGGCTTTTGCAATAGTGTAACTACCTATAGTCACGCAAATAAAGCTTATATTGTTGTTGTTGTATGAAAGAGGTACCTTTCCCTTGAAAAATGGTGCTGATGAAACGGTAAGAGGTTGGACCTCGGGGCGGAGCCTTTTCGTATAAAACTTGTACTTTATTTTTGTTTCAATTAAGAAAGTACCCAGTAGCACTAAGTCAACAGGAGTCGAACGAGAGTGACGTGGCACGTCATAAACACGAGTGGAATGTGTACAAATGTGAGTTGTTTTTACGATCGAACATTGATCTGAGAGCAAATCAGCAGCAGGTTTCATTTTGAACTTTTCAAGCCTTTTGCACATTGACATTACTGGGATGAATAATTCTGACGGTGAGTTTTTCCTACATTGTTCAGTGTTAGTTATTACCCGTAAATGTCGCGTGCGTCTCGCAAAACCGACTTGTCAAGGTTCAACTGGTGGCTGACGTCTCTACGTACACCAGGTCTGAGTATATTGATTTTATGAGATTCATAGGCATTGACCCCCGGGCGGGCATTGACCTAATACAATAAATATGATGAACAAGCTAAAGAGTTTCGGTTTTCTATTCAATGAAACTAAACTGGCTGAGGCTATGTTAGTCAAGACAAACTGTCAAGACCTCAGTCAAGACCTGAATCAAGCGGATTCCTTTTAGAAATAATGTACACCAGCCGTAGAATTCGCTGGGTGTCCTCTTTTTAAAGGTTTTCCTTTATCCGTTCAAGCTGTTTGTACGATACAGGCCGCCGTTTTTGTCTTTGAAGGAACAATGAATGACTCTGATGGTAAGTTTTTACCAACACTGTTTGTCGTCTTAAAGCCTCTTTACTGAAAACAGGCGTCAGTGGAAAGTTTTAAAACCCAAGGAACTACCAACGTTTCTTTGATTCATACTCCGAGTGACCGCCAGTCACAATCAAGGCTAAGTAACTGTTTATAACATATACACATTAAACCAATTATAGACGAAATTATGCAGAATTCCTAATTGCTTCAAATGTTACTACCGATGGAGCTTATAGTGTGTCGGAAAGAGTTAAGTTTTGGGTTTCTCGAGATCAGATATACGGTGTGCTCGACAGCTCGTCGTTGTTGTTGTTTTTTATTTTCTGTACAAATTAAGGGTGGAGAACACCTTAGAAAAACGGATACTGGAAGGTCAGTACTGCAATACAACATTAACATAACTTATGAAGAAGAAGGATGTTCCTTTTACTGAGTACAAAATGCAAGGGAACAGGGCATAAATTTAAACCAACAGGCTGTTAGGCGTGCTCAACATTTTTTCGGTCAAAGCCGGACCATTCGTTCCGGTTCAAAATCACGTCTACAGCTTACGACCGAAAGTGCTTTTATCGTTTTATCGCTGTAAGAACAAGATTAGACTGCAAAATACGCGCGAGCAGTCAAACAAAAGGTCCCTACGGGCGTGTGGGGCTCGACGCCACACTTTACCGATTTCTTTACTGATTTTGAGAAAAAAACCGACTGTTTTGCAGTCTGGAACAAGATCTTTTAATTTGATTACTGGCCGGTAATGTCACACACCGTTGGCTCACATAATGTTCACACAAATAAGTCATTCCAGTACATTTAAAACAATACACATAATAACTGAGGTGGTGAATGAAACAAAGCCCTTATACATATTAATGCTGTTTGTTCAAACTCTCAATTATTGTGTCGGTACTTTTATTTTTGACAGGAGCCGATTACTTCATTAGTAAAATCGCATTATCTTTAAGCTTCAGGCTTTTCAAAATGACACAGGGCAAGTTGTTCACCTCACGGTTCTCATTAACAACCTGTCCTTGAATCATAAAAATAAAATACATGAAACTCACATGTTCAGATCTGTTCAGTCTGTGGACGAAATACTATGGGGCTAACCATTCAATTGAAACCTTTCCAGCGGTACTTTTGTACAGAAATATTGCTTCTCGGTATTTTATATATTATATTAAAAAAAAAAGATTCCGACAAAAATAGGCAATCGACTTTGGGTTCGTGCAAATACTAGATACGCTAGATACGCTAGCTGACCTAACAGTCGTAGTTTTTTTAAGTAAAAAAAAAAAAAAGATAAAAAGATTAGTCCAAAATTGTCCAATAATCTCCGAACCACAAGTAGGTCATGACAGATCCTTGATCTTCTTTTCGCCTTTCTAAAAGATTAACTAGCACACTTTACGATAAATTATTGTTCATTGCTAATAAAATATTACTAATGAATTGATTGAGCTGAAAACAACTGGCCATGGATCCTTTTTCCGTCCTCACATTATTTCTTGACTTTCTTGGCTAGTAACAACCCGCTACACTGTAAGAGAGGGGCCAGGGGATCCTTACCTCCCGCCTCTCGTACCTTTCATTCCCGACTCCCCACTCCCCCCCCCCCCTACACTTTTCTGGTTAAGCGATGTTGCGTGATGGTCCCACATTTCTCCCTCTTCCCCCAGTATCCTCTCCCGTCTACCCTACCCCTCCCACCCCCGTGTTTTCCCCCATTACACTTCTCTGCTGTTGTTGAAAACTGATATTGAACAGTGGCTAGAGTTGTTACAAGTTTCACTCAGAAAAGCTGCAAAGTATAAGGCGGAAAGCCGAGCTTCGGATCAAAACACTTCGATCCAAGACGCAAAGGCACGTACCTGGTTCGTGCTAGTCAAAATTTTAAACTGTATTCAGTGTTTTTTGCTTTGATAATGCAGTTATACCCTTCTTGCGCGCTTTCATAACAAAATAAGAATCGGCCGAAAGTGAAAAATCACTTTTTAATTGTTTACTGATTACAGGAACCTTAATAATGGACTACTTTAAATTTGTTTCTTCAGATACTCCAGTTGGATATACAAAAGTGCAGAGAGCTGTGTCGGCGGCATTGTACTCCATAACAATTCCAGTAGCTTTGACGGGAAATATTCTTTTGATTTTCATTGTGACGAGGAGGCCTAAGACGAGGACGTTAACTGGGTTTCTCTTTGTAAACATGGCTGCCGCTGACCTATTAGTAACGTTGGTCGATATGCCATCTGCGATGGCAGTCCCTTTTACGAGCATACAATGGCCGCCAGGTATTATGGGAGACATAACGTGCAAGGCCGTATACTTCGGTTTCTTTGTTGCCATAACAGCATCTATTTTAAGCCTTACACTCATGTCAGTGGATCGTTTCTTAGGAGTAGTCTATCCGCTCCGCCGGTTTCCACGATTTCGAAACGCACGACTCCTAAGCTTCATAATCTGGCTAAGTTCGATGATCTTTATGATCCCAGTGGCTATTTTGTGGAAGGTTACAGATGAATTTAAACCTGGGAAATTCCAGTGCTTTGCCTCTTTCGGGAATCTGCTCGGAGATTACAAAAACGATATAACATTTCTCTACACGTATCTTTTCTTTCTCAAATACTTGATTCCACTTTGCCTGATAACAGTACTTTATGACCTCGTTTCTCGCACACTTTGGCGGCATAATGTTCCAGGTGATCGCTTAGTTTCAAGTGATTTCGACTCAAAACGTCGCCAGGGAAGAAAGAAAATTGTGCGCACACTTGTCGTTGTCACCGCTGCCTTTGCAATTTGCTGGCTCCCAGCACAGTCTTACTATCTTATCTTAGCTTTTAACTTTGAACTTCATGACCGTCTTCCTCGATTTGTAATGTTCGTGTGCAACTGGTGTGGACATTCCAACAGTGCCGTCAATCCATGGCTGTACATGTTATTATCGAAAAAATTTCGTAGAGTCCTAAGTGACATGATGTATAAACTATATTTGAAAATTTACTTAACATTATCCCATCCGGATCCCAACAGGGAAACCTGCGTGTGAGTCACAAGTAAGTACCTTCCGGCTCTGTGTCACCTAGCCAGCAAATACAGAAGTCTCTCTTCGCTCCCCCACGGGGGGGGGGGGGGGGGGGGGGGAAAGCATATGAAAGGGGTGAGGATGCTCGTCGAAAATTTTGAATTAAACCCCTAAGGAGACCGATCTGGGCGTGGCCCAAGCTTTTTTTGACCCCTAAAAGAGACCATGTTGAAACAAAGACAATATATACATACTTATATTTGTCGAGTGCGATCCTAAACGAGACCTTCACGGCTAAATATGATGGCGTTTTGCCCAGAACACCCTAAGTGAGACCAAAATCCGAAATTTACACCCCTAAGCGAGACGACGAGCATCCCCACCCCTTTCATATGCGGAGTCCCTCTCCTGGGTTCGTTCCTCGCCGCCAAAGACGTTTCGAGTGAGAGAAGTCAGCGATTCGGCCCCAAAAATTCCACAGTGATGAAGTGAATCAATGTTTACATGATTAAGCTGGTAGTCATGGGGTTTCAGATGTAAAATTGTTCGAGTTTAAGTTTCTCTTGGTCTATTATCGTTCTGCGAACGGGCAGTAGCAAAACTTATCAGAATTGAAGTTTTGGCGCCAAATCGCAGACGTCTCTCCCACGAAAGAGCAAGGAGAGACGGTTGTATTCGTAGGCTTAAGTGGCGCTCTAAATTTAATTCGCGTCATTAGTTCTTGTAGTTTTTTTTTGTACCATCTTGTAGACAATGTATTTCTTCAACTATAGATAGTTGCTCAATCATCAGCCACACAATGTTTCCAGTATTTTTTTTTGAAAGATGTTAATACTTGCGTAAAGTTTATAAAATGGAGGGTCGTATCTCAGAGAGGATAACTAGCAAAAAGGAAATACGCATTCGCCAATAAGGCCCTTTGCAGCTAGCCATTCGCAACGGAGTTACAAAACCGCCATGTAGGGGAGAAGGAGACAAGACAACCAAAAGATCACCCTTTATTTAACTTGTCCCAGTGCGTCAATTGCTCTCCAGCGTGGTGGTTTTGTACCAAGTGAATCACTAACTGCAAAAGCTTGCAAAGAGGCTACTACAATGGTCCCCACTTTTCTAAAAAAAACTAAGCAAAACTTCAGTGCCAGCACCATGGCAAATGTCAGTTCTCTGAGCTCGCTGTCGTTGTTGCTGGGGGTATGAGTGAATAGTCGTAATTTAATTAATCCGGCCTACATGTACGTAAGGAAGGATTTCAAACCGGTGTAACTACCCCGGCAGTATCACTAGACATGGCAAGTTCTGACAGAGCAGTTTACCCCCTTATTTTTTAAAAGTCATTTGTCCATTCAAGACCTTCCTCTGATATGGTGAGTTTTTTCACACACTGTTCAGTCACGTTTGTCACTCGTTCGCAGCCACATGTAGTAGCTTGCGTCTCAGGGAAAAGCATACGAACCATGGTTCAATTGGTGGGCATATACAGTATAGGGCTGACGTCACAGACCGCAACCAGACATGAATACAGAAAAAGATTAAGATACAAAAATCATGAGAGAAATTCTATGTAACCTAACGTGCCGCGCAACAAGAAATGCGACTTTCTTCAAATGAAATGTAACTTAACTAACGACATTATAGAGTACCCTGCATCCAGCCATGATCCGTAGGTGTCTGTATGATAGGCGAGGTTCCCATGCAAGTTAGTCGCTTGTGCCGCATACAGACCGCAGCGTATGTCGATGGAAAACAATGAATGAATCTGATGGTAGTTCTTATTCAGTTTTTGCCAACATTGTAAAGATTGATTTAAGTTCCGATTAACATGAAACTTAAGAACCTAACGTAGCAGGTTAAACTTAACGCAGTCTGATATTTTGATGAAACAAAATGTCACAAAATCAAGTCGAATCCAAGCAAAGTGAGTGTTCCTTCGTGGAATAATTGTTAAATAATTGTACATTTTACTAAGGCATACCTATGGCCTATTATAAAAGATGGCCCAGTATATGAACTAACTTATGCAGAATTCCTATCCTTTGTCCATTCAAATGAAAGCTCTTTGACGTTCCTATTGTCACGTTAAATTTACGTTTAAGTTTCCTGAACATTCACTCTTCAGGGGTGAAGCGGAAAGGCTTGAGCTCAGTTATAGTTTTTGCAGATCTTATACGCGTTCTGCACCGTACAGCTTTCAATGTTTTCTATCGATGTCTTGATACGTTGTGTGGCACGACTTAACAACAAAAAACAACAACAAAAACAACAAAATTAATTAAAAGAACATAGACAGACGTGACGGAACTATTAAGAAGCAGCATTTACATATCTTATGGAGACGACGTGAGGACAATCGCACAGGAACAGTAGGTTATTCCTCTTAAGTTATTTTAAGTAACAAAACTCAACAGGCATTTGAGCTAACGCTCTGGTAAGTGGTGTACTACAGTTTAAGGCAGAGCAGAGGTGGTGGTAAGGTAATTTCATGATACTAAAACGTCATTCATACAGACCGCGTCGTATTTTCAATAGCCTTTGTACAGACTCCCGATTTTTCCTGAGGAGTGGAGGGGTCCGTACACAGCCTACATTTCAATTACTTCTCGGCTCCTGTATCTTGACCGTTGATCCTAATTGGCCATTATATTCTGAGTTTGAGTGTGAGACTGGCTCGTCGTTTTGCGAATTGCATTATGATACTCTTGAGGAAGCTATCGCTTCTTTCATTGGCTTTCACGAGGTTGGGCGGGAAACTGGGTGTGCAATTCCCATTCTCGTCCCCAGAGCCTCCTGGGGGCCTGAGCACGAGCACCATGAGGCTCTAGGGACACAGGATTTGAAGTCCTAGATTTTAGGTCATTAGAAATGACCGGAAGTCCTAAAATTCTGTGTCCCCAGAGCCTCCTGGTCCTCGTGCTCAGGCCCCCAGGAGGCTCTGGAGACGAGAATGTGCAATTCCACACAACACGGACCCAGTCCCACGCGCAGCCTCGAAGTGGATCTTTTTGTTTAAAAAAAAAAAAAACTAAAATCAAAACCAAAAATTAAAAAAACGAACATTAGGTCGATATAAAGTCTTTTGAGGTCCAGGATTTCGCTTAAAAAGTTACTCCTCGTCCAGTAACAGGCTCCGTGCAGTGCTTCAGGATCTTGTTGATTCTACAGATCGCTCGTGGTTTTATTTTCCGGTATAACACTCACATCAGTTTTAAGCCTTAATTATCCCTTCTTTGGTGCTTATCTATTTCACCACGCCAAATTAATTTTTTTGGTCTCCCCCGAGGCATTCTCTCAAGGGGATTTAAAATGTTGCAAAAAAATAACTTAAATATGCTTAATTTATTTTCTGATTGATATTTACATTTACTTCACGATAAATCGACAAAAACGAGACGAGGCTTTGTGTAATAGAAGTCTGATGGGCGAAATAATAATATTTTTTTTACCTTCTAAAGTCAACAAACGTTGATTCCCTCAAACACATTGCCCATTTTATTTACGTGCCCCAACAGGAAGGTGCCGGATATGTATTTTGAGGGTAAACAAAATTGCGGACAATATATGACTGTCGAATAAATTAAACATATTGGAAAAAGGATACGAGGCAATTTTAATTGAGTGAGATTTAATTTAAACAAAGGAATAAAATCCTTTCAAAGAACTGTCTATAAGTTAAAGACAAAACAAAACACCTCCACTCTCGGTTGACAATGGTTGTTGACGTGACCTGCGGTTCTAATTTTCCACTGTTTTCAGTGTTTTTGTCACTTATCTGATTTTGGTATTATGTACGCTGGGCTGTGTTAAAATACAGTTCGGTTATGTAACTTTAGGAGCCTCAAAACTTTGGGGTAGAGGTATTTCAGAGCTGGATGAACAGTCACACCTGTAAACCTGGCAAGATACATCAATCATATCATAGTGGTTTAGAAGTTCAATTTGCCCTCGTCTTCACATGGGTCACAGGTGCTGAATATACAATATCGCCAAAACGAGTTTCCACTCGTACCGAAGCGTGCCAATGTGCAAAGCGGGGATATAATTACCCCAAACATTTCACGGTTCGCCCTTTAATCACAGAAATATTGTGTAATCGATATCGTATGTTCAAGATCACCCGATCGGAGACATTGATGCAACAATGAATGTAACTCCTGATGGTAAGTCGCTCGCTATTTCAATGTGACGAGTTGCATCTGCAGTCGCACTTTGTTCAGCGAAAAAGTTGTTTACAGATCTTAATACATCGAAGCCATCATTAACTGATGTTACTTAGACCACTAACAGCTAGAATAGTTGTAATACAGTGAGGAAACTACAATGAAACATTTAATAACAATTTAAAGAAAAGCTGACATTTAAACATGTTATGATTCAGATGATTATTTTTAGCGGAGGCCTTGCTTGACTCGACTTGGGAGAGACCAGGTCAGCCTTCAAATCATTGTTATGTATGGTCCACTTGCGAGTTGATTATTGAAGTTTTAAAATGTAAGGTTTCTTTACTTAGGATAACTAACATGCCTTTAACTTCATGAGATCTGAGATTCTTCAGGGAAACCAAAAGCCATTTCCTTAGCAGTATGTTTTTTTTTTTGCAATATGCTCCTTGAGTACTCAGTCATACTTGACCCGAACTTGAAGGCCTTTTTTACTCACGTTAGAAACATGAAGAATAAATATATGTTTATTTACACTGACGATGTTGGTGTTAGTGTCCTAATATTTGAACTAAAAGTGAACTAAAAGCCGAAAGCCAGTGGTGTCATGATCAGTGGCATGTATTCAAATGCCTTGAAACCACGGTAAATTAGTTGTGCGTATTCATAATCGACTTCCATTAATTCAAAGTCGGAAGCTTGTAAAATTTTGAATTTTCACTTTCGTGCTTTATTGACACTTTCCGGGATGGCCAAATTTTGTAAGTTTCTTTCTGTTTTTGGACCCTGCACTACGTGTAGAGTTGTAGTTTCGATTCGTGCCTTACACATATCATAATATTAGGTATTTAATTACCTCAACTGTTAAAATTTTTCAGGTAAAATTTCCTTGGAGATGATGGACGATTGATTTATTTTACTTTGTTTGTATATGTATGACAGTTTCTCATACTTTCCAAATATTTGTCCATTTTCCTATTTTACATGTATGTACTTCATTGTCACTAAACACCTGCCCGCAATGGTCATCCGTTGAACGTCTACAAACTGGAATGATTTTGAAGATAACTCTTTTTTTTTTTCGTTTTTAAAAGCTTTTGTTTTAGAACTCAAGGGGCCGCCGGGGCATGCAATCAGACGTAGAAAGTTAATATAGTTATCCTTCATCGGAATATTTGCCTCTAATTTGCCAATAATTCGCTAAGTGACTGATAATTGCGCTTAAGGTAACAGACGTTTGGATTGTAAGGAAACATAATCATAATCGGGTTTTTACCGGAAAAGTTTACCAGTTTTAAATTTTCCGTTAAAAATAAATAGGCCACAGTGCTCTTAACCTCTGTTTCATAGCGAGTCTAAGAGCGAAGCCATTTACATATTTTCACTAGAAAGGTTTTGCACTTAGCTACTACCTATTTACTATCGATGGGTGACGTCAGCGTGAGTATCGTTATATAATGTATATATTTTTAACGCTTTATTGCTCCCCGCAGGGTTCTGGCCCAGAGGCCGGAACCCAAGGAAGCTCCTTAAATTCCTTCACGTAGAGAAGTATCGTTTTTTCGTTGTATTGGGTCAGTACCAAATCTTCTCGATTTGAAGAAACTAGGCGCGCAAGATGGTCCCAGTTCATTTTTCAGCACGTATGCATAGCAGTCTTGGGTAATTCTGGTTCAGCAAGCGCCCAAGGTGGTATTAGGAAATTCTATCCTGCATGACAATTTCGGTTGTTTGCCCCCCTCCCCCTGGAAAACCACGTAACATTGCGTTTATCCAATCAGTTCTTAAGCGCGAGCAAAGAAGGCGGGTATCGTGAATAAGATCTACTTGAAGATATTATAAAAATTATTAAATCATCATTTCATCATTCAATTCCCTCCACAGACAACTCCAGTTCGACACAGGATGGTGACCTGACCATGACTGACTTGCAAAGGACGGCGATCACGACTCTGTATTCCATAACAATACTGGTAGCTTTAACAGGAAATATATTTATTATTTTCATCGTGTCAAAGAGGCCCGAAACAAGATCACTAACGGGTTTCCTATTTGTCAATATGGCTGCAGCCGATCTTCTGGTAACATTGCTTGTCATGCCAATATCCGTTACAATCCCTTATACTAAAATGAAATGGCTGTCGGGAGTTATGGGAGAAATCACGTGCAAAGTCGTATTCTACAGCTTTTTCGTGTCCATATCAGCATCCATTTCTAGTCTGACATTCTTGGCAGTGCATCGCTATTCTGGAGTAGTCTTACCTTTTCATCGTTTTCCCCGACTTCGAAACGTGAAATTTGTGATTGCAGTGATCTGGTTGGTGTCAATAATTCTAATGATCCCAGCTGCAATTGTGTACAAGATTTACGAAGGTAACGGAGAAGTGCAATGTACACCGGCCCCCGGTTTTGAAGATCTGTTTGGACATTTTCAAGAGGGTGTGACCTTCTTTTATACATATCTGTTTCTTCTGATCTACTTCATTCCACTTCTTCTCATTTCACTGCTTTATGGCCTGGTTTCGCGAAAATTGTGGCACTCAAAGATGCAATATAGGTTATCAAGTGGCCAGGATATAGCAAAACGCCGCGAGGCGTCAAAGAAGATAGTGCGCACACTCGTTATAGTCACCGCTGCCTTCGCAGCCTGCTGGCTCCCAGCACAGGCCTACCATCTTATTTGGGCGTTTAACCTTAACCTTCATTTTTCTCTGCCTCAGTATGTGATGTACGTTTGTCTATGGTTTGGCCACGCCAACAGTGCATTAAATCCATGGCTTTATATGTTATTGACTGATAAATTCCGTACGGCCCTTCGTGACGTAGTGCGCGGAAGATATTGTGGTTATCAAAGCAAGTGTAAATCTTATACGGTTAGAGAGAATATCGCAATGAGGCGACTTATCCCAAAATTTCATAATAATGAACAACAAAACGTCAATGAGTTAGAACCAGGATAGAATACTGTTATTAAATTAATAAAATTAACAGGGGTAGGGTCAGATATCTAAGGTCCGGTTCAAACGTCGCATTTTACACCCAGTCGTAATGCTAACGTGCAAAGACTATTGTAACATCTGTAAACTTGAAGAAAGCTGGTATGGCCGGCCGAAATATTGTTCTAAAATGTTCTAATAAAAGGAATACATGTTGTTATCAGCTTTACAGTAGTAGTCTTTAGACTTCTTGTTTTTTGTTCTTAATATTTTAGCTGATTAGATCTCTTTTCTAGAGATCCAACGTTGACAACCAACAGGATCTGCGCCACGGTTTTTGCAGTTAATTTTTTTTAACATAACTTAGCTAGTCTATTGCGCTTGTGTTTATTTGCATTAGATTCGGCACATGTGAAAGTTCCTCGGCCTTAGGCCTTATTTCCCGGCGGGGGGTACTCCTGGGAATTCTTGGTGGGAGTATGCCGCCCAGTTCTCCAAATCCTGACCCTATTTCAGACCAAAAAAATCTCATTTTCCACACGTGTTTTCAGACCTGGTCTCTAAAAAAAATATGTCATCATTACTTAGAATAGAACGCCAAATAAAAGATTTCAAAAAATCCACTTCGAATTCGTATATTACTTTTTCTTTCTCAGTATTCATTTGGAACTGAAACGACAAACACGTTCATAGGCCGTAGTTCCCTCGCAAACCATACCCTATTTCAGACCAAAATGGGCGAATAACTGAAGTCTGTACCCGGCGTTTTCAGACGAATACGACGCAGGGGGCACATACCTATACCACCGCGGTCAAACGTCTAAATCGTTATTTTTGTTTTTTATTGCTGGGATTTCATTTACCAGTTAGAAAAAAATGGGCAAAGATGTATAAATCAGTTAGTTAACATAACTATCTTTCCATTTGTCTCAAAATTTTGAGCTTTTTTCGCTGAAAACGCTTCGCGCTAAAAGAGAATCATGTTTGAAAATGGCGCCGATAAAAATAACGTCAGCATCGGTTTCCAATCACTTAGAACTTTTTTAGTAAACTTTTAAAAAGTTTAGTAAACTAACAGGATGTTGGTAATACCCTAAACTTTCGATAGTAAAAGTAGCAACCTTAACTTTGAAGTGTTTCGCTTAACTTTTGCAAATTTCACTCGTTTGACCGCTGTGAAACATGCCTATATGGCTTGTATTCAGCTTTCGCTACTAGTGGCCTATAACGTATAGCCTAGTAGTAGCTCAACCAATCAGAACGCAGCATTAATAATAGACCACTAGTTGGATTTTACTAAAAGTGAGTACCTCCCGGGCCTTATTTATACTAACAAAACACCTTTAATAGACCCTTCTACGGTTTTTTCATTGGTGAAGACCAGTTAGCGAATCGGGTGGTGCCGGGGCACGAACTTGCCCCCCTACCCCCGCTCCCTGCGGAGCCAAATCTTCGCTAGTTTTCAACATGTAATTCACTATCCTTATCATGTACGTCATTTAGTCCCGCCTCTCTCTTTTAAACAATTTTTTAATGCGATATCCATCTATATGATATTTTCAGTAACTTCTGTAAACCTGAAAAAAGGCTCGGTTGGCATGCCCAGCCGAAATATTGTTCCTAAAAAGCAATACACGTTGTTATGATCAGCTTTGCAGTAGTCTTTGGACTTCTTGTTTTTTGTTCTTAATATTTTAGCTTGATTAGATCTCTTTTCTGTGATCCAACGCTGACAACAAGCAGGATCTTTGTCCATGGTTTTTGCTAATTTGTTTATCATTATAAAAAAAGAGTTATATTTGCATGAGAGCAAAAAAAAACAAAAAAAACAGAGGCATGAGGCAACTCAAAAATGGCTTAGGAACCATTCGATTATGTCTTATTGAGCGCCATAATTGGCATGTTCTAACTGTCGTCACGGAAAGATTCTCTTGAAAACGTTCCAATGTACGTTGACAGCTGAATCTCCGATTTTTGTAGGCATGACATTCCATCTTGATCCTTGACGAGTTTTCCTAAATGTCGATGCGCTTTCCAGCTATATAAATGGAGTTATTTTAATTCCGACTATATCTGAGTCCTCTTCTAATATTGAAATAATTCTTAACAACCGGAGTCAGTAAACAACAACAAGAATAGCGGAAAAAGATTTCTGTTGCTCGAATTTTCACCAATTTGCACTGTACAGAATAGCGGCAATATGTAAAAATTGACAGCTTCTGTGACTATCGCTTGAAAACCTCTTCCTTATTTAAACAGAAGAATTCAACAAACTCTTATTAACACCAAGGCTCCAATAGTGTGTTCTATTTATTTACAGACTGAGTCACTGTCATGATCACTTCGCGTAAGTCAAACCAATATTAATAGACTGAGTAAACTCGTAAATGTTACACGAACCGAACTAAAACCGAAATATACCCCCTTAACTGATATAAATTTTTTAAGAAAGCCGTACTTTATTTGGTCGTCTCGTTAATTAAATTTGGTTTTTGCATTTTTTGAAGCCGGCACAAAGTTGGTGTTTCTAATGAAACGCCTGAAATAACAGACGTTATTATAAGGGAAATATACATCACGTAATTAATAAAATGAATGCGCTTTTTAGACTAACACATTACGTGTATTTTAACGCCGTAATTGAGAAAGACTGTGCTAGGGAAATTCTTGCATTTGGTTGAAGAGGTATCCGAAAAGAGGAGCTTGGACCTGAATACAAGTATGCGAAATTGATTGATGTTATAGTAGAAAGGCGCGGGGGGCGGCTGTTTGAACTTTCCTAATCATCTAAGGTTAGAGGTTTTCCATGGGTTTTCGGTTGACCTATAATTTAGCTTTGCCAGGTGTTTTCTGCAGATTTCACACTGTTATTAATCTTTTTTTTTTAAACCAGGACTCCGAAATTTTACTTCCTTTCATGTTGAATTATATGACTATATTGGCGGAAAGGCCGTGAAAATCTCTTCGTTAAGATTTAATTTTTTTGTTGAAATATTGAAATTTTTGGCAGCTTCAAGCACAGGCCTGAATTGAAGGAGTCTCGTATCTAGACGTTTTCATGTCTTTCAATATGACTCGGTTCATCAGCAAGTGACACAAGACTGATAAAACTGAAGTTAAAAGCAATATCGGCTAAGCGAGGTTAAATGTCGATAAAACTTGTCTTACATATCAAACTAACGCTGATAGCTTGGGGAGTCCTTTCATTCATATCCATAAATGGGAGTTGGGAAATTAAAAAAACAATTTCTATAATTTTTCTCCATCTTGTTCAGCAAGATTCTGTTATAGGTCGCAGTAGACTTCACGCCGAACTAGCTTTAAAAAATAGTAGCATAACCTTTTCTAAAACTTGGAAAAAATCTCGAATTCGAACGGCATGCGTCATCGTTCGGGATGGCATTAATTATCACCCTATTAAAGGGGCTGCAGTTTTCAATAAACGCTGTAGGTGTTTATTTCAGAAAGTGCGTGTGATTAGCATAAACACCAAGGAATCGAAGCGAATGAACGTTCTTTATCTCGAAAAACCGCGCTGAGAGAAAAAAAAAACATCTTATGGCCTTTCACCAGCGCGAAAGTTGATTTTAGCAAAAGCACCCATTGATGGTAATGTATCTTTATCCTCTCGCTTGATTTGATCAAATTTCTGTCTTTTTAATCAGTTAATATGCAAAAATAGCAATCCGGGACTAACATTTGCTAGATTTGATATGAAAAATAACTAGCAAATGGTAAGAATGTGAGTCCACGTTATTTAGTTCACTTCTGAGAGAATTCACCATGTTAGATTTTTTTGCAGAATATCAAATAACCTTATTCAGATGTAATTTCTAGTAGGGGAAACCAAAATCTTTTTGCTACCGTAATTGACAGAAAGGTCTTTCTTTGGTTTTAGAACTATTAATATTTTTCTCAAGAAAAACTAAGAGCGCAATAGCTTTCCTATAAGGGCCATATTTTCCTCTTCCTTGTTGATTTACCCTTCTAGCTTTTTATACTAAAATAATCCTCTGCTTATCCTAGGATTAAAAATTATTTTCTTTTGATGTTACAAAAAGTCGGAGAGATTAAAATCTTAGCCGCCAATTAGCAGTTCTTTTGTTAGACGGCTATTCTTGCCTTTATACAGTCTGGCCGTAGGTGTTTCAGTGGTGTATAGCATTCTAATGGTTTGTTTCTAGTTCATGAAAGGAACAAATAAGCCAAGACCTCCATTATACACAAACAAAAACAATGAGATGTCAAGATCGCCAATGCAATGATCTTCTACTACCAAAACATTGTGCACGAATTTCAATCATATCAATTCATCTTAACATAAGCGCCCCGCCGGGGCATGAAAATGTCTATTTCAATGAAAGGAAGGCTAAGTAAAATAATTACTTTTTATTTGTCTTTGGAAGAGTACTTTATTGGTACTTAATTTCGGGGGTCTTATATTTCGCGTTTTTCGCGATTTTAAAAAATTCGCGAGATTAAAGACCCCCGAATTTAAATCCGCGCGAAATTTACCAGCCCATACAGACAATTCAAAGCACCGAAAAATTTATCAACATTGCAATAGCAACAACATATACAGATTGACAAATACACAAGTTGTTAGCTGCTTTTACTGGTACGTTCCCTTTTGTATCTTTCGATGTGAAATAACGTTAATTTGCAAAGATTTCACACTTTGCTTGCTCCAGTTCATCAAGGAATTTTAATAAGTTAAGACTTTAATTTGAAAGATGAAATGAAGTTGAGAACTCCCTTTTTCATGTTTGCCTGTTGAAATAGTGAAAATAAAACCCTGCGAAATGCTGTCTCGCCAAAATCGCGAAATTACAGTACCAATAAGGTATTTTGTGTGAAGTTAACGTATAATGAATGCAGGTGTCATCAAGCGACCAAATATAAATACCAACTGACTGAATATCTATTCTATTCAATCATGTTTGACGTCGATTGAAGATGACCTCCACGGTTCATAAAATATTGAAAGATAAATTAAAATTTAAAAATATTAGCAGCATGCAAGACAGTCTTAGATTCTGGATTCCACGCCGTGGATTCCGTAATATTCTTTGTCAGTGGAAATTGGATTACAGATTCCAATTGTTAGGGGGTTCCAGATTCCTTACACTGTATTCCAGATTCCAAAGTCCAGGATTTAGGATTCCGGTTTTTACAAGCAAATTCCGGAATCCTGGAAATTGAATTTGCTGGATTGCGGAATCGGTATTCCCTTGCACGGGGCGACAAGACGACTGGGATATATAAAACAAGAATAGTGATAGTTCATGTTTGTATACTGTGAAACTGCTTTTCTTTCAAGAACGCGATGTGACCTTGCTCTCTAGCTCTCTAGCCTAAGAAAACAACCGACATTTCGCGTCGTCACCATAGGCGAAATGACGTCTGTGAAACGAGTGCAGAAATTCCATACTGATGACGCGATGCGACACCACCCAGATCTGGTCGTGTCGCGAGGGAAATTTCCTTCAGCCAATCAGAAGCACTATCCAGATCTGGGTAGTGACACGTCATCAGTATTGTATTTCTGCGCTCGTTCCTCAGACGTCATTTCGCGGGGAAACCGGCGGTGGCGTCGGCAAAATGTCTTAGGCTAGTCCTGTTGGTAAGTCAGGATATTCACCTTCTTTACTTAATGATATGACATGAACGTAATGTGGACGGTTCTGATGAAGTACTAACATGATCGATGTCGTTTGTTAAAATTCCAGTGATGAAGGAACTACAAAGAACGTTCTTCTATCTCTCCGTTGTTTTGGAGACGGTCAGTGAAATGCTTTGCCTTGGCAACGAGTTTGTGATGATTCACAGACAAGACCGTATGCGTTCGGCAGTGTTCCACAAAGTAAAAGAGGGTATGCGAAGTAGAACGGTTTAACAGTTTTCCACTAGTCTCAACTGCTTGTTTTTTAAGAATGCTTAGATAGCGAAGAGTAACTTTTGCGTTTATTGTTGGGTGACGGTTGACTATTTTTCAAGATGGTTGTTACCAAAGTATTACAGTTAAGATTTTACTTCGTACATCTCCCCATTTTTCCAAAAACAAATCTCCCCGAAACTTTCTATAGAAAATCGCCTTAATAGCTTAGAATCCTTGTCACAATAAATGCTTGAAAATCTTTTTTATGATTTTTCGAATGATTTTGATGAAAAAGGAGAGTGTTAATTGTGTTAAAATATAAACATAATAAATAATAAACAAACAAAGACTATTCTAGATACCATATTACATGTTGAAATTTTCGCAACATTTTTATCTCGCGATTTTGATGTGCGCATATTTCGCGACACTTCAATTTCGCGATTTTGCGAAATTTTATTTTGAATCACTTTAAATTCGCGTTTTTGGGCACAATAATTTACATTTCATAGGCTATGTTATTTAACATTGAATTAAACCACTTTATCAAAGGAAGAATTACGTAAAAATTAAGAAAACAAAGCAGTTCTCATAATGTCCACAAGCAGTTTATGCTTGTAGGTGAATTATTGTTCTTGAGTCTATTGACCACAACATCCATTTACACCGAAAATTCATCAGCAAAGTAAAAAATGTGATTTGTAAACGTTTCAGTGGTAACAAACTCGTTCTTTCTTGATTATGGACATAATATGAGTCCCTTAATTTTCGCGTCACTTTAATTTCGCGATTTTTTTTGTGTCGTGAAAATTTCATGTAATAGCTCGGTAGTCTTCCACTACTACGTGGTGCCTCTGAGGAAAATCTGAGAAGAATGTTCTTATTTCTTTCATTTTTAATAGATGAAGTCCTAGAAGGACATTTGATATCCGTACATAAAGTGTCTTCGGACCTGGACTGCTTACAAAAATGTCTTTCACAAGCTAAATGTGTTTCGTTCAACTTCCAACTTCAAAGCCCCGACTTGCATCACACCTGTGAACTTAATAACGTCACACGAGAATATTTTGGTACACTTGGCCCACGGCGCGGATTCTCCTACTGGGAGGCTATTAGAGACATCCTACAGGCAAGTAGTCATTTCGAAGGTTAACAAGTTCTTTCTTCATTGTTTTGCACCATTGACGCATTTATTTCATTAATATTTGAACAGCGTAATCAATGAGGTACAACATATAGGAGCCTTCAGGAAGGAAAAATTGAAAGTTATCAACGATTAGACCGAATAAAGAATTTGCACTATGACAAAGGAGCCAGAACTTTCTATGTATACTCGCAACTGGTGTATATATTGTAGTTAATTTTTTATCTCAGGTAACTTTTATTTTTCCATTGTTTTTGGGTATGGTAATATATGCTAATGAATTTGAAACAAATTAAGGAAAAACGAAAATTGTCTGAAATAAAAAAATTATAATTAACTGCAACATATATGTCAGATATGCAAACGCAAACTGATCTCGAATTTGATTTTGTTCATGCATGTAATATAACGTTTTTAAGCATGCATGAAATTGACTTTTAAAGTAAAGGTGCTGTGGAAGTGAAAAACAATTATGAAATGATTGTTTTTTTCGCTAAAATTTTGTTATATCAAAATTTTTCGAGAATTTTGGCACTTTTGTAACATGACGAACGACTTAAGCTAGCAGATCGGACGAAATTAATGGAGGCCATTTCAATTCAGAGAGGCACAAGAATACTTAGCGCTAAGACAGATTAGGCGACCAGTGGTTTTACAGAAAACATGGCTTTGATATGGGTGTCAGGTCGCATGACGTCTTTGCGTCACGTGAACAATTGATTGTGCTTGTGACATCACTTTGAGATTCAGTCACATCGTACTGTATTAGCTGTCTACGACCAAGCCTGAAAAGTCTTTCACGATAAACAAGTCCAGTTCAATAACATAACATAACATAACTAACATAGAATCTTTAATTTCTGAAATATTCTTTTCCAGGATAATTTAAATGCTAAAAATTTCCTAATAGAAGAGAAAAATGTTTCAGAAGGTTAGTAATTTTCAACTGAATTCCAATAGTGTAGAGTACTGATTTAAGGAAACTGGCCGGGCCGCCACTTTAGTAAAGACGCGCGTGACTCTGGGACTGTGACAAGGGTCATGGAGAAAATACGTACTACGTGAAAATTAACTTTGCAAGACATCAACAAAAATACCCCCTCACTCTGTTTTAGAGTCCTGACCTTCAGCTCCAACACTAACAGAACCACGCCACATCACGTGTTTCCGAGAGGGCAAGAGTCCAAGAGTCGCGTTGATGTCTCGCAAAGAAAATTTAGGATGAACAAAACCAACCTTAGAAATATAGAGAAAACTAAGCAAAATTGAACAGCATATCGGATCTATAAAAGACCTACAGCCCCAGAATAAGTAATAAATTGACATTTAAACCGCAAAGGACTGCAAACAAATTCAGCTGACCGTTGCGTCCCCAGGTCAACTTCGTCCGCAGGGCGCTTATCACTGGGTTTGGTGGGGCGGACTTGGGGCGGACCACCTCAAAAGCCAGGGAAAAGCGCCCTGGGGACGAGGTTGGTCCCCAGTACGACCCCAGAAACAATTGCGGGACGCTTTTCGGCTCCAGTTTCCTTCTCGGTTGTTAAATGGCAAATGTAAACTCGTTTTCACCTTGTTACCTTGATTTGATTTTAACTCTCTTTTGTTTTCGTGCTTACTGATAGTGACGAGTACGTAGATAAAACAAATAGGAAAAAAAATGAGCTGACGATGAAATTTAACAACAGCAACATGCATTTACGCCCTTTGCGCGTACAATGTGAAAAATAAAATTATAAATGTACAGCTTAAGCTTTGCGAGGTGTACCGTCATGTTTTCCTGTTATATTTTGTTCCTGCCATATCAACAAACAGCCTCTTTCTTATCATAGTGTCGTCTGCCCCGGCAACGACCACGACAACGGTGATGGCGTCAACAACTGCCTTGGATATCCCCACATTAATGGCCATCACATCAACACCTACTTCACATGCGTCGACATGTACAACAATGACGTCAACACCTGCTTTAGATGCGTCCGCATCAACATCAATGACGTCACTTCAATCATCAACGTCATCTATGTATTTATTGTCGTCATCATCAGCTCAACAGGCAGGTATGTAGCTTAGTAACCATTTCTACTCCTCAGTTAGTTGAAAGCAACGGGGACAGTGGTCGGAAAATTAGAATTGAACGCATAAAGAAATTTAATATGGCGAAGCTACCCGGATAATGGGACGAAGAAAGAACTAATTATAAAAATATTGCAGAGTTTGAATATTTCTATGTCGATTTCTTTCTAACTAGTGGTCAACTGTGGCGCAGACTGGCATAGCTACAACTCAGGTTGCGTACGATTGTTCGAGACGCATAATACAAGAGGAAATGCGAATCAACATTGCAAAACGTTTCGCACTTCCGGTGGTGATTCAGGCAAATTGGTCAAAATTATGTCTCAGGCTGATAATAACTTGCTTGTTAGCCTCGCAAATGCCCAAGGTAAGTAACAATCCCAGGGGGAGGAGGGGGGGATGGGGCTACTTCCATAAATTTCGGATAGGTGTGTGCCGCCAAGGGTCCGAGTCCCTGATCCTAACAAAGGATGAGAGAAACGAAAACTGGTACCCTATTAGCCTGCACAGTTGGCGGAATTGTTTTTGCGCGTGTGAGTGTTTTGGCGGGAAATTAAAAGCCGCGAAAACTTTCCCTCAAAAAATACGAGGTTGGCCAAAACTTTGCTCGCGCTAAATGACTATCCCGCCGGCTACGCAGGCTAGTACCCTACTCAAGGCCCAAACCCGAAAATGGCACCCTATTCAAGGGAAAAACAAAACCTAAGAATTTAATGGTTTAAACTGATACTACTCCTAATAATCTTTGAGATAATTCAGTTTTAACAAATGTTTCTCGGCTCGAGCCTGGGTATTTACGCACTTGAATTTTAGCTGATGTCAATTTAGGTACCTATCTAAGGATCATACCACTAACAGGATGCCAACAAGCCTTCAAAGCCATTTACATCACGAGGAGAAGAAGTTGTTAAAGTATCATTGCAATTCACCTTGTGTGATCAATTTGATAATTCTGGTGACTACTTTGTTTTGTAAAAAATTGGTATTACAAAGAAAAATTCAGTGCTGATCACTTTTAGTGCTTTAAGGCTCCATGAAGGTCACGTGAGAGAGGGCCCTTTCTTGCGCCCTCACGGCTTTCACCGCCGCAGATTCTAATTTCCTCTTTCTTTTCGTCTCTGAATACCTTATTCTACAAAATGAGCTACTTTGCGTTTTATGAACGACTACTGCTGTTTCTTTCCATAGGCAGATACTTCATTGGTTTGAGTGACTATAGTGATGCAGGAAACTATAAGTGGATTGGAGGTATAGTACCTGCTTACACCAACTGGGCCCCAGCTCACCCGCAAAGTTCGAGTACAGATTGCGTGGTCATCGACATCAGACATCAAGGTGACCCTGATCATGGCAAGTGGCTTGCAGAGCATTGTGGTAACAACCATAAGTTCATTTGTGAGTGCCCGGGAGCATGCAATTAATCATGAACTCCAGTCCGCACGATCCTACGCGCCACTTAAAAACTACACAACCAAACCACAGTATACCTCTAACAGCATGCCTCTAACTGATACCAAATTTTACACTTAAAACAGTAAACTGATCCTTACGGCAGGAAGAGCGATAGAAAAAATAAAGAAAGACAACAAAAAAAAATGGTGAATTATATTTGCCCGATATTTCGGTTTGCAACACAAACCTTCTCAAGCCGATCACTCTATCAACGACGTCCTTCTTATTCCCTTAGAACTAATCCGTAGCAACCGTGACTTTGTCATAAAGGCACGCGACGCTCACCTTATCGACAAAGCTATGACTTTAGAACCTCCTGATATCGGACGTGATAAACTCAATCGTGAAATTTATGTTTTTAGTAGCCAGCCTACCATTTTCTGTTTGCTGTGTACTCATTCTCGCATATGTCGACGTTCATCTTTAATCTGCACTCATTTTTCTTTTATAGCCCCCGTTGAAGGCTTGTGTTGCAAACCGAAATATCGGGCAAATTTTATTCACTACTTTATTTATGTTCTCTTTATTTATTTTTTCTTTCACTCTGCCTGCCGTAAGGATCAGTTTACAGTTTTAAGTTTAAAATTCGGTACTCAAGATTTTACTGATCCAGGCCTACAAAATATCCGACGGACCTCCACTGGTTTGTCGTTGTGGTTTTGCCTTCACAATTGTCTCTAACTGATACTCTACTTGGAATTCAGTTGCTGTTTTTATCATGAGAAGGGCTACAATCGGCGCCGAAAATATTGAGAAACTGTTGTGAGGAACAACCTAAACCCCTCCCCTATTAGTTGTTGTTTTCTCTAGGTATCTTCATTTGACCAGGGCCACTTATTGTTTAGGGAGGAGGGGCCAGGAAAAAAGTGCTCTTTTCTTAGTTTAATGTAGATAATGAATAACGTGAGAAATGTAGTTGAGGAAAAACAATCGTAACTACTTTGTCGCCAGTTGTAGCTATAAACACAACTTGCCTTGAATATATCACGTCACCACCCTATCAAGATTTTGGGATGTTTCAGTGCGTCGACTTTTAAAGTTAGCAAAATTTTCCTTCTCTTGCATTGAAATACTTGCCTCTGGGACCTCGTTTTACCTAGCCACCAAAATCAAGCAGATGGGAAAACAGGAAGCCAAGGAATTAGTACTCGTACAAGGGAGCCTCTAATATGAAATATTTCAACTAACTTGAAAATGTAACATGGGCTACTGTCGTCAAGAAATAAAAAATATGTTTCGAGTAATTATATTTCGAATAAATGTTTGCGCACCTATATATTCACTGAACTTTACTTCTTGAATCAAAAACGTTTTGGTGATAACACATGGCCTCTGTTACAAGTCGTTTTTAAGGGAACCAAGGGTTGTGTTGTGGGGAGAGCTCTCGTACAACCTGTGTTTGCGTCCCCTCGGCGTTGATACCGTGCGCAGGTTGAGTCTGTGACATCTTTTCTGCTCCGAGGATGAGATTTTTCACTGAGATTTTCCCTCTCCTAAAAACACTGCATGTTCAAATTCCAGTTCGATTGTAGATTAGGGTCGTAGATGAAGCGGAAACATTGCACTTTGTCATTGTGGATTTGCTTCCAATTTGAATCAAAATTTTTCACAAAGTTTATCGATAAAATGAGCTAACTATACAGTGTAAATTTAGTAACAGCCGTCTTAGTGAAGTGTACGAATCGAGTAGAAAGATAGATGATCAACCCCCCCCCCCCCCCCAAAAAAGAAAGACAAGAACAAGGGTAAATGAAGACTGAGTGATTAAGTATTACATTTTAATAATAGAGTAAATACACTTGAATTGCACGGGCAGCATACATGCTATCTGCCCAACGCCGAAGACCAAGTTTCTTACGATTATAACAAGATATTAAGATAATGCCATTTAAAACATCAACCCGCCTAAGTTGTCCTAAATATTAACCTTCACATCATACCCCCATCTGATAAGCATATAAAGCATATATAGCTTAAGCAATCGGTTACTTCTTACTGTTCAAAAATTATCAGAGTTGTATTCATTTTAATTGTTTGGACTGAATCTCTCGATCATCGTGTTATATGACGAAATCGCGGTCCAACTAACATGTCCGTAGGACATTGTTGCAATTAATACTTTGCAGTATACGTGTATATTGTATTAGCATAAAGTAGCATTCACGAAATAAACAGAAAGATTTTCCACAAGAGAGTCTGGCGAGGAAATTCACCCGGGGGTACTCCCCTATAAAAGTGACGGGGGCGCTCGTCGTACCTTTTAGGAGTTTAAATTTGAGGATTATTGATACCGTTTAGGGTTCTAAAACCTAAAATGACTGCTGCCACCTTTATTAGGATAACGATTTATGACAAAAAGTCCTTGAGAACTGAAAGTTATCTTTAATACTGTTAAAATTTGCAGTGCCAGTGATATGAATTGGTATCTCTTAGGGGTCGAAATGAATTTGGGACACGCCCATAAAACAAAATTCTGGTACCTTTTAGGGGTGTTCTCGAAATTTTCCGACGAGCACCCCGTCACCCGGGGGGGGGGAACTCCGCATATGAAAGGGGTGGGGATGCTCGTCGGAAATTTTGAATTAAACCCCTAAAGGAGACCGATCTGGGCGGGGCCTAAGCTTTTTTTGACCCCTAAAAGAGACCATGTTAAAACACCGATAATATATATATTTTTATACTTTTTCACGTGCGACCCTAAACGAGACCAACACGGCTAAATATGATGGCGTTTTGCCCAGAACACCCTAAGTGAGACCAAAATCCGAAATTTACACTCCTAAGCGAGACGACGAGCATCCCCACCCCTTTCAGATGCGGAGTCCCTCCCCCGGGCCCCGTCACTTTTATAGAGGGGTACCCTCCCCAGCAGAACTTCACTTCTTGTCTGTGCTCACCACTGAGAACCTCGATCTGATCTGATATTATAGCGCTCTTTATCTCTCACTCAGGTTCATTCATATTATATTTCTTTTACAAAGGAAAAGCAAGTGAAACATCACAATGCAAAAGTATCCCATGAAACATATGTGCGATAAGCAGGATGAAATGATGAAATGCCCATCGCAGCTAGCCTTGTCAGATCATATAGGAGTTTCCTCCTCGTCCCTGGCTTTAAGTAGGCCATTGCCACGCAAACGAGTCGTTGAAAGAGGTCGTTTCACAAGGCTGTTATCCCTGACAGAAGTATACTGGGTGTACTTTACCGACGTCTCTGGCCTGAGACCCAAACTGGAAAATTTACAATGAATGAAATCTCGCAGGGCCCTGCGGAATTTATCCGTTAAAAGCATGTAAAGCCATGGGTTAAAAGCGCTATTGGTATGCCCAAGCCAAAAACACATGTACATTACAATTTCAGGTAACTGTTCATGAAGTCCAAAGTGAAATCCAAAAATGAGATGATATGCTTGAGTTGGGAGCCAGCAAACAGCGAAGACAGCGGTGATTATGATAAGAGTGCGCACCACTTTTCGTTTTGTTGCCCCTCTGCGTCGCTCGGTTTCTGAAGTTACCAATCCAGGCATCTGTCGGCGCCACAATCTGAAGCAAACACGGCCATAAAGCACAGATATCACCGAGAGCGGAGTTAGGTAGAACAACAGAAAAAGGTACAGGTAGTATCCACGCATACCTTGCATTTTGTCGGTTCCAAACACGGTAAACACTGCTACACAAAATCCACTATCCACGGTCCACAGAACGGCTGCCGGGACCATGGCTATCACAGACACCAGCCAAATGACAAGAGTTAGGAGTTTGGGACGTCGAAATGTGGTGAAATTTCGCAAAGGAAATAGCACAGCCAAGTAGCGATCTATCGCCATAAACATCAAACTTAAAATAGACGCAGCAATGGTAACATGAAAGACAAAATAAACTCCTCTGCATGTGATGTCTCCAAAGAGACCAGTCAACCACTTTGATCTGGTATAAGGATTTGCCATGGTAGCAGGCAGGACAAAAAACGCCACTATGAGGTCAGCGACAGCCATGTTGACGAACAGGAAGCCAGTTAACGTCCTTGTCTCACGCCTTTTAACGATGATAAAAATTAAAAGCAAATTTCCTGTCACGGCCCCAATGAGTGTCAGGGAATAAAGCACTGTGATGATCACGGTGTGTGAAGTTGATAGGCTGGTAGAAGGCGCCACAGTTGTATTATCTGTTTAAAACAATAGAGAATTATTAATCTTCCCGTCCGGCCCGACCTAACTCAGTCAATAAGCATTTTATCATATGACCGTTGTGTTTTTGACATTTTCTGACGAAGCAAAAACGCGTTCATGGCAGCATTTTCCTCGTTTCGCCCTCAGGGCCTCACGCGTTTTTCTTGAGGCGTCCGGCCCTCATACGGGACTTTTTGGTGCTCTGACGAAATTGCGCACAGGACCGTAAGTTACATCTTGATTCTAGACAGCCGCCAATTAGATCCGCCATCTTGGGTTTCGACATGAGTAAAACAAAACGGACGACTGATTAGATAGATAGAAAAGTGCCCACATGGAATTAAAATTAAAAGTGACTTGATTGCATGCGTCAAAATAGTGAAAAGTATACTTTTGAGCTTTCTGTTAATCTGATGGAAAATAACTTCACAACAGAGAGCCTAGGATTAAGTAAAGGCGAATTCTGCATTGCTCTCCTTCATAAGCAGATTTCAACCGTCGTCTAAATCAAATCAGAAGAGCGCGAAACAGTAGGTAAGTCCTTACGCTACGATGTCAGTTTTAGCTTGCACTGAACCATTTGCTAATGACGTGTCATTTCAGTCCGAAACAGTTGATCAAATAACCTATTTTTAAAAGGTGAACTACTTACCATAGGAAAAATTCATGATTGACCGTAGACAAGGCGATGATAATTTGTACACAAGACTCAGGGACTGACTGTTTTACCGACAGACGTCCCTTTTCACGTCGCCGTCATTCAGGAATTGGATAAAAATAATGCATGCACGTTACTTGCACTCATTCCAGAACAAAAACAGAACAGACTCAATTAAACAAAACAAATTGTTATCAATGGCACGTGACCAGAGTCGGTGAATCAAGAAAGCGAAAAGTTTCATTAACTAATCCAAGATGTTTTAAATTCGTTGTATAAACAGTGTATAATAAAGTTTAATATACGGTACAAATGTGGCAAAAGGTGAATTATAAGCCTTTACAACAAACTCAGGTTGTTCAGTCGAGCGATTTGATCATTAATAATAAATGTGTATGACATCTATTTCTACATATTGCAAATGTTCGTGATAATTCAAAAACCGCGTAATGGTGGTAAATTGACACAAAACAGCAGATCCCATTGGTGTCCAAGTAGAAAAGGCTACATTTAGTAATAATTAGCTTTGGCCAATTGCAAAGTTTAAGGGCGACAGATCATAAGAGGTAACAACTGAAATTTAACTGCAAAAGGCCTCAAACAACTATAGCTAAGTCTACAAAAGTCGAGTCTGCGCATAATTAAAACTAAAGAAGTCATTAGCAACAAGAAAATCCGCCTAAGGCCTGTTTCAAACGTCGTGCTACTGCCGTGCTAAGCTGGTTCGACTGTAGCTCGACTGCAGCACGACGACACTAGCACGACTTGGTTTCAGACGTCGAATTTAATTCACACAATGACAGTCGAATGGCACGGCTGTTGCCAAAACCAAAACACAAAAAATAAAGAAACGGTTTAGCAAACTTTTAAGTATTTAAGTATATTCTAATGTATTTATAATTTATAAATTGAGTTCGGCACGGCGGTAGCACGACGTTTGAAACCAAATCGAGCTACTGCCGTGTAGCACGACTTGGTCCTTACTCTATCTCATTATAAGCTTCCCACGCAGACATTCTTGGGGGTTCGTCACGCGTTCCTGCCCCACTAAGTTAGTCTCCAGTCTCTTACATCTTTAAAAACATTTTGAAACCCTGCACGACACGTAATAAATTAATTGTAACCTGGTTATTGGGTCAAAAATAGAGATAAGTAATTTGACTCAAACCAATGTGAACGAAAAATCACCAACGACATTAATCCAAGATAACATTTGGTTGAGATCATATATTCGTTTATCAGGAGTATCAGGCAAGAAATGATGGAATCTGATTGGCTCAGTTGACATGAGTTTCCCAATTTATGCTTATACCAGAAAATAGACAAAACTGAAAACAAAATAAACAGGAACTTGTTTTACATACAGCTGTGAATATAATTTTGCTTGTTGCTAACAATTTATAAAAATCTAACAGAGAAATTTTTTTCATAGTTATTTCAATAAAAGGTAACCATGATAATAAGTTGTCACCACGAGTCCGCATAAAACACATGCATATTGATATCGTTCTCCTAGATATTAAAACATTATCAAGAGCCGAAAAGGTTACGAGAAATATATCAAAATGATCACATAAGAAAAAAAATGCTTTGATTATAAAACGAATTTTCTCATCTAATTCTTTAAGCAAATGTACGGCCATGAGATCAGTGTGGAGAAGGCCCGGGTCGCACAGGAGCGAATTTTGTTTATTGAAGCACCTGCCGGATCTGTCAACACATGACGAAAAATAAGTGCGACCCCGCATTAAAAATTATATCCAATTTTTTCCCGATTGCCAAAATTCAGCCAATGTTCAAAGAAGTCGAAGTGTTGCCTCGGACGCTACCAAATTTTGGCATAATCGACAATTTTGTTTCTTTAAACATTAAGTTGTCATTTACCTCAGCCGTGTAATTGAAAATTGCCACGGCAAATGATTTTTTTTCCTACGCCCTCGGTCCTCCGTCTCGCTAGCAATTATTTCGATGTGCCACGAACTTTGCATCCTATCCTCCAATAAATTCAAACCGACTTTATTAGCAGCATTGTATCAATGAGTCGTGTTATGTTAAGTCGAAGACCACGGACAATTTCGTAATCGCCGTCGATTCAAGCGATCTGCCACTCCTGAAAGCTGCAGCCAACTACATAAAGGCGTGTTAATAGTCTAACTAATTAACTATAACTATTACCAGAACTGCTATGGCATTTTGTTGCGAAAAAAAGGAAATTCAGTCAAGAAAAGGTCGAAGAAAATAATTGATCAGTGGCGGCCTTCTACTCCTACGTGATGCTTTCAAGTAGCTATTCTTGTATGATATATATGTCAGTCATTGGAGTTTTGGAAAATGCAAATTTCGTATAATGCGACCCGTGTTAAAATTTGGAACCTTTTTCTTTTCTCCAGCAATTTTATCGCCAAAACTGTTGAAGTTAAAAAAAATTCGCTCTTGCGCGACCCGGGCCGAAATGTTCAGAGAGCCTATTTTTGAGAACTTGGCCCGTGGTTTTTCCACTTCAAAGATTCTTCTGGAGCCAGAAGTCCGTCGTGGAAGATCAGCTGAAATAGTGAGATTTGAAATACCTCACCCGTTGACGGTTAATATTACTGTGCATTTTTGACGGCTGACGGTAAAAAATAACCTTTTGTGACGGTTAAATCTTAGGCCGTTTGACGACTGAGGGTTAACCCTATTGAGACTCTTATATAATGGTCACACTATAGAATTTTGTTCACAGACCCATGGGATGGATTTTGAAGATATCTCCATGTTTTGTCTCTACACTCTTTTTTTTTTATAAGAACGTTGTTTTTCCAGTTAGGCTGAATATTCTTATTTTTCTGCCGATTTAAGGCTGAAAATATTGTTGTATCATTCTTAAATTATAGCTTAATTATAACATTTCCGTTTTAGAATATAATGGGGTGATTATAGTAATTGCAGGTTTTTTCGTTTTGTTGGCAAGTTTTGCCGTTTAGAGAATGGAATAAGTTGAAAACATATAATTGTACTGTATTTAAGTTTTTGAAAACACAAAATTACACCCTTTTCAAACGGCTCAGCCTGGGGTTTATTCTTAATCTATTCTTAAAATTTCGCAAATCTTTAGCCTCGATATTCTTATAAAATATATTCTTATCGAAAAAATAAAAGAGTGTATTCAATGATTATTTCATTCAGTTGCAGCCTATTTCCGACTAACTATCAATTAATTATTTATTTTTTATCTTTTTTCACGGCATAGCCCAGTATTGACCAAATGAATCACGTACGGTGTTATAATAAGGCTATTATAATATAATTTGCTTTATCATATCTGAGTTCGTTATTTAGCAGACACTACACTGACAGGCGGTTATTAATTTGCGTGGGGCATATTTTTGTTTTCGTAATGACGACGACCTTGTAAATGTTTCGAATTGTAGAAAAACCTTAATCCAATTTCAAGAGTTTAAGGTGTCTTTAAGAACCTGTAAATCCATAAATTGCTCCTCACAGATCAAAAGTACTTAATTGGAGAGAAGAAATACAGATTGACTCCCCTTTGCATTGGTGTTCAGAATTTCACTCTTGAAGGCGAAATTTTTGAAGAAAAGATCATGTTAAGGGTATCAGAAAAACCTTGCTAGATCAATATCAACTTTGGAATCCATTGCAAAGCCTTTTCTTTTTTAAAAACGTGCATTTATTTACAGATGAAAATCGTTGACGATTTAAAAAATAATCTAACAATTTTCACAATCATTAAAAAAATTAAGCAAGAATTATGTTTCAAAGAGAAAGGCGTCTTTAAACCTTGGCTTAATTTTACCGTACGTTTTTCTAATCGGCTTTCTTGACCTAAGAACTTACCCTTTGGCGTGTACACTTAAGATACAGCCCTACATACTGGTCAGAAGTCACTGAAGTCACTAGATATAGCATTAAAAATTTATAAGTTCCTTTATACTCAGTTACACTGCAAATGAGAGAGTCAGAAAAGCTGGAAAACATAACCTTGTGTTGTACGGGGAAGATGAAGCAGTCCCCAATTTAAAAACGTTATTTTATCGGGGAAACAGGCATTGCAGAAAATGTTATCTTTGGATTAAACATAATTTTTCAAATTTGCCTTCCGTGCTAGTTCTAGCGTGTGCCAGGCTCTCAGATAGTATAGTGGGGACGTATTAAAACGGGGGAAAGCGAAAAAAAGACGCGCGCGAGCGACTTGGGAAAGGGGGCGCGTTTTAATCGGAGCCTTGAACAGGCTATGCTAATTCCAGGGCTGAAAGCAGATTTAAACTAAAAACAGATTATTCTTTCACCGAAACGTTTAAGCGGGATGAAAGACGACGAAATGACAGATATACATTACACACAAAGCAAACAGGACTGCTATCAAAGTCGAAAATTAAACGACTCTATGATCAAGCAAAGAGGGTATAGCTTAGTAAAATGTATGAAATATTTATGGAAATCTGTGACAGCATGTGCCTCACACTCTGTTTGTATTACTTACCGCCACGCGAAACTAGGCTTCACATCCTAAATCAAAATCCATTGAAAATCTCATATGAATTAACTATCACACAAAAAGTTGCAATCTTCTCCTCTGCGAATTCGAGTTTGGGCGGCAGACATTTTCGTTATTGCAAGTTAATGCCTAAATGTGTTCAACCGATGAACTTAAATAAACGAATTGACATTAAAAGGCCTGATGATGCATGAGAAAGCTTAGATATGTATAGAATTCAACCTTACCATCAGATGAATTCATATTTCTTCCTCAGAAACCTCCGTATGATACTAACAGCGCAAAGTGCACAACAGAAGGACGATCGGTGATAGCAACGTATTTTAATACTGCCTAACATCTGCTTGGTGTCACTCATAAAATAAGCCATCACGTATTTTGTGGATTGTGTACATTTGTATATATCAGAGGCGGTTTAATAGGTCAACAAGAAATTGCCGCAGACTTCATATTTCAATTAGCAGAAAATCCTCCCCCTAATAAGTAGCAGTGACAGCAATTTAATACCTGCCTATAGGTTTTTTTCGTTTTTTTAAGAACATTAATCATTTAACCCTTTAAGCGCTAAGAGTGAACAGCATCAATTTTCTCCTTGTATTATCACTGCTTTGTAAAAAAGAGTGGTCATGAGAATTACGGACATGATCAAACAAGATGAATTTGCTCGATATTTTCTCAACTTCTTCCCACTACTTCTGTAGGAAATGAATAGGGCCATGGGAATTCAAATTTTAATCTCAGGGTTTATAATTAATAGGTGAAGAGCGGCGGCAATCGAGTCCAGCAAAAGACTGGCTTTTACATGGGGTTGAAGGAAGCTGAAATTTGGCTTTTCTTTACAGAGTGTTTGACTAACTTTGTAGTCAGTGAAAAACAAAGCATTTCTTTCGTGATTAACTCTTCAACGTGCTTAGGCAACAAAACCAGGTTTCCAACCACCCAAGTGTGAGATATTGAGTACAATTAGGAAATGCATGAAAAAACACGGCTGGTGTTGCACCCACGCACAATACTGAAATTACATACTTTGATCGTCGGTGTAATCTTCAAGTAGTATTCAACTAAAACGCGCTGTAAAACCACTTCTAAAATTAAATGCAATTCGTCTATACACAACACGTAAAATTAACACATTGTGATTAAGCAAATAATAGTTAAGGTATGTAGTTTCAGTGCTACTATATTTTACTTCAATGTATATGAAAGTTAATAATTTCCACAGTGGCTTTCAGGAGAAAAATAAAAAATAAAAAACAGAAGTGTTGTAAGTGAAAACAGATCCACGAAAAAAGAAAGAAAAAAAAAAACAGAAAAGAGAAAAGAGAAAACAAATACAAACTGAGTTTTCAATGGGGTGAAGGACGACATCCTCATGTTTCTGATCCGAACCCGTCAGTACCCTCTAGTCCGAATCACGACTGAAAAAACTGCGCAAATCAGCCAAAAAGAGTGGAAGGAGTTAACCCTTTATACTGAGCATTACAGTGTAAAAAAAATATATTTTTAACCAATGAGTGTAATCCCCCATTGATGCTAAAACGCTCGCTTTAAAACCACTCGGCCTAAAACGAAAGACACGCACACACAAGACGAAAAACTGCACAAATCAGTCCAAACGAAGTGGAAGGAGATTACCATTTATAACACTGAAGTGTTTAAAAGGATTTTAACCGATGAGTGCAATCCCCCATTGAGTCGAAAAAGCGTTTTAAAACCGCTCTTAAAACGAAAGACGCCCTCATACAAGACGGAAAACTGCGTAAATCAGTCGAAATAAAGTGGAAGGAGTTATAGCATTGCTGTGTTAAAAATAAATACTTTAACCGATGAAAACAGCCGACATTTGGCGACGCTACCACGACGGCTTTCCCCGCCATATGCGTCTGAGTAACTTGCGCAGAAATTCCATACTAATGATGTGTCACTACCCAGATCTGGGTAGTGCTTCTGATTGGTCGTGCCGCGTGGGAAATTTGATTTAACCAATAAGGAGCATTACCCAGATCTGGGCATTGACGTGTCATCAGTATGAATTTTCTACGCTCGTTTGTCAGACTTCATTTGGCGGGGAAACCAGTGGTAGCGTCGCCACATGTCGGCTGTTTTCTCAGGCTACATATCAAAAATATAAATCGTTAGGTGTAAAAAATGGAAAACGTTTAACCGTTAATCGTAAAGGAAGTAAGCTGTTAAAACTTATCTAGCCACAATTCAGTTAGTTAGAGGGTGTCGTTATCACTTGTTAAGACTCCTCAAATCATCCAAGAAAGGCAACCTTAGAGACGTACAGATCTCATGTTTCCATTTCGAACTTCTCAAACAACTGACTATTTCAACAGCGAGAAAGGAGAGGATTTGACTGTTAGCCGAAAAAAAAATACATAATATCTACAATGCTTTTAGAACTTGATACCCTCTAGCTGTTAACCGCAGTGCACTAACATGGAATAGCAACACTGGCTCAGTTCTAGCCTTGATCCAAGAAGAAATATATGGAAGAAACATCCTTAATAAAGAATATCCAACTGAGAAAGACCAAAAAAAATAAATGTACTTCCCCAAAGCATAACGCGTTTACTTGTGACTTAAGGCCGGAAGAAATAACTAATTTAAACAGGCTTGAATTCATCATTAAAATTTTAATGAAAGTTTCAATTTCTAAATTTTCTTTACGTCGTTCAGTGCGTTCGATTTATCTTTGAAATAAATATCTTAAAATATGAATGCATTTATCGGGCAATAATTTCAGATTTCATTTTTAAAATTGTTTATTGACGCCTTTGAGTCGCATTTTTTTCTCCGCCTGAAGAACGAAATGGCTGTTGTTACCAACGTAGTTGATCACGAATTTTACCAGAAATTATAATTCGGCTAAACCTGTGTCGGTTTTGTTCTCTCTCAAAAGGACTTTATAATCAACGTATAGCCCATCAAAACTGACGGTAGCGATGCTGAAATATTCAATAAGAAATATTGCTTTTTGCAGCTAAGGTAATGAGTTTTATCAATTTTGCTCCACAATATATGAGAAAACAGAATGGGGTCATTGGTTTAATTCAAACAAAAATAATAAGAAGCAGAAAAAAACCCAAACAACTTTTTGGTAAAGGGAGCCGCCTACCAGTGCTTTCGTTTTTTCGTAGTTCTACATCGTCTGTTTTTCACTACAGTAAAAACCCGCGTATAAGAACCTAGAATTTAAGAACCTGTTAGGCTAAAATTTTTTAATAGGTTCTTAATTTACAAAAATGAAGGCACAGATGAAAAACACAGAAAAAAACATTTTAAGTCTAGGTGTTAGTAAGATTCAAAATGTAACACTACAGCATTTTATGGATACTGCAGCATGAAAGACATGCATGATAATACTTTGGAAAGATAAATTCACTGTAACGTTATCATGTAAACTGTATTCTGGATAATCATTTAACACAGCAATATATTCCATACCGCGATAATTTTGCCCCGTAGTAGTTATCTGTGCTGATCGCTAGTGCCCCCATCGAATTGAGAACCTATTTAAGAACCTAAGTAGCCTAAAATCCCACTAAATACTATTTTTATAAGAACCTATTTAGGCTAAGTTGGAAAAATCTAGGTTCTTATACGCGGGTTTTTACTGTATGCCACAACGTGCTTTAGCGTCAGTTTTTCTTTCTAGTGACAGTGACGATTTTCAAATCATTGCTCATTGCACCGAAATCATGCTTAGTTCTTCCCGAATCAGTAAAGAAAGGATATATTTTGTCCGCAAATTTGTCGTCGTCCTCTATCCATTCCTCCTTAACTTCAGCATTACTATGTATTTTCTACACCGGTCCCGGTGTACTTCTATACTAATGAGAAGATTTGTTTAACCACCTTGAACATTTTGCTTTGATGATCATTTCCTTCACGTCACTGTTAAGATGTTCACTCTCTTGTTAACCATTTCAATCCCAGAAGTGCCCAAAGTCAAAACGCAACAAAATTCCTAAATGACATTTTGTAAAATGCTAGAAAACAAAAAGTACCTAGTGGACGTACTGCTAAAAAGGATTCATTTGAATGGTAACTCCATAGTATTCAATCATCCACAGTCTCAAAAGTTAGAACTGCATACTAAATAAATAGTACCATGGGAAAGTATTTCTGAAGAGGTTTCATTTGAATGGTAACACCATAGGATTGCGTCCACAGACTCAAAAGTTAGAACTATACATAGTACGATGAGAAAGTACTTTTGAAGAGGTTTCAGTTGAATGGTCACACCATAGGATTTCATCCACATACTCAAAAGTTGGTACTGCATACTAAATGTAAAGGACCATGTGAAAGTATTGCTGAAGAGGTTTCATTTGAATAGTCACACCAGAAAGAGTCAAAAATTAGAATGACCTCGCAAGACTCATTATATAAATTCATTCTGTGAGTGAAACCAAGGGCGCTTTCCATTTGTCAGAACTGGCCGGCCAGACCTGTCATTTTGAAAATTAATGGGCTTTTACGGAGAAATTTGCCCGTGAAAAATCATCTCCTTCGTGCATATTTTTTAGAATTTGACTGATCTCGGGCTAGATAGTTTTGATTAAATGTAAAATGCTCTCATTACGATGGGAGTTGTCTAGCCAGTCACGGTCAGTTCCAACACATGAATGGAAGCCCTAAGTGTTAAGCAGTGATCAGAAAAAAAGGGCTAACCCAGAAATATACATTACTCATTAACTTCAAAGAAAGCCACTATATTACCTTTTTAATTTAAATACCTCTGTCAATTAATAGCCAGACAGAGATAGAAACAGAGGGAGACAATATATATTAAACAAATTTAAACAGAATGAAGAAACCTACTGAGTTTCGACACGATATATGAAAAGTTATTAAGCGGCACTATCTTGTGAAACCGCATGGTATCTTTGCCGAATTATGAACATTTTAATTTTTTACGGCTGCATTAGGCGGTCCTCATTTAAGCTTCCACCGCCGGCACTCGTTTTAGCTAAAATGTAAAACGTTATCGTAAGTAAGGTCTTGTTTGACCCTTTTTCAATTCAATTTTGAAGGGAAAACAGTTTTTTTCTACATTTAAATTATACTGGCTTTTTGTTCTGTTTTAAATGAATGTTAACGATTAACGAAAAACTAAACCCTGATTGGTCCACCAGTGAAATATTCCCGGGGGGTACTCACCGAAGTTTTATACGGGGAGACTCCGCCCGAGTTCCAGCCCCTAATCCTTTATATTTATTATTTTTGATAGAAAA